GAGCATATGCAGCATCGAGAGCAGATTGCCAGGCGACGTCTCGCTGCACGATCTTGAACACTTTCTGGGTGTGCTCGATCGTAGGACTGCCGTCCAATAGTACGCTGAGCGAATCTCGAGGCATCCCAAGTGATGGCAATGCCTGAGCTTCAGCGATCCATGTTCCAACTGCTTTAGTGATCGTCGATGAGTACAAACGGTCATCTTTCATACGATCGGGGGTGTCGCCATCCATGGCGGTTACGTAGTCGATCCGTGATGCAGGCCGTGGCCGAAATACGCTGCTCCACATGTTCACGATACGTTGGACGCGGAGCCGTCGATTGAATTGACACAGAGGAATGAACCCTCTTCCGTGGGACGCTGCATTCACACCTGATTCACATTCCTCCTGAAGTATCACGGTTCGCACTTGGCTGAGGGACGAAGACGGAATTGCGTGTAAAAAACGCAGTGCTACAGACGCCGCCGAATGGCGGTATTCCGGTCTGGGGTAATACATCGGTACTCCCGGTTCGACATCTGCAATGCTTGCGAGCCTGCTGAGTTCGGGGAGATCTGGTATGAGCCAAGGTGCCGGAGAGGTCTCACTGAGAGCTCGCAGGTCGCAGACTTCCCCTGGTTTCCCGGTTCGCGGCATAGGCACCATTTCGTCGTGGAATGCGGGGTGCTTCGATAGCAGGTGGAAAACATATTGAATGAAGTCGTCCCACGTGGATGGTGCTTCTCCGCAATCGAAATCTCGCTTGTGGAAGGCGACGATAGACTGGTGCGGCGTCCAGCCGTCAAATATCTGAGCGAATTGCGGGTATGCGTCGATTGCCCTTTGTACCATGTCGTATGATAGAAGCCGAGGTGTGAGATGTTGTAGCTGGACCTTCTTACGGAACATTAGAGTATACATCGTCATTTGGAATAGGCCGGCTTGCTGTCGCGAGGACTCAGAGAAATGGGTATAAAAGGTGATGGTATTCTGCCCGAGCGCAAGCCCTTGCATTTCGGCTGCAATCTGGCGGCATGTGAGAGCGAGGCCGGTGGAGATGGGAGAACCGTCGGCCTGTAGAAGTCGGTTTGTCTGCGAAGGTGGAGGTTAGTGTATGTCTGACACGCATTCCATCGTCATTGTCATACCTCGAAGTTATGGATGTAGCCACCGTCGACCTGGACATAATGCTCGTAAATGAGGTCTCTCAGCTCGCGTGGAAGGCGCAGCATTGCCGGCAGTGTAGATGCGTGATCGTTCATACGTTCGAGGTGAGAGCCGGCGAGGCCAGGTGTGTCGGAGTGGTTGATAAATTGAGTTGACTCCATTGTGAAGATATTGTGGTGGTCGGTTGCAAGACTGCGAGAGGCAGAGTGGTGTCTTTGTACCTGGACTTGAAACCACGCAGGATTGAAGACATGGTCATCTGGTCAGGCTACGTTGGTCTACCAGAGAGCGCAACGGCACGTAACCGTGGCCTCCCATTTTCGGCCAGCTGCGACAATCCGAAGGCCTCGGTAAGGCCACGATGCGCCATGTTTGTTGCGTGTACCAGGTATAGCTCGCTCGTCTAGGCAGCAGATGTAGGCGCAGGGTTGTTGAAGGGTTGTTGAAGGCAGGTGATGTCGAACACAGGCGTTGGCGGGAAAGTACGCGTCCGGTGCGCGGTTGTGGTTGCTGGAAACAGACACGATGCGGTTCGTTGAGACGCGTCGGTGACGTCAGCGCCGACACACTAAATCGTCTTAGGCAGCCACATCCAACGCGCCAATCAGAAGTCCGACGAAGACATACCTCGACAAACCCATGGATCAATTATGACCTCTTTTCACTGACGACACGTTGCTCGATTCAAGACGAACGATCGAAGAGCCCAGATGGATGCACGCTCCAGTCGGCGTCAATAGCGCACTCTATTCTTCGGCTGGAGCTCGCGCGAACTCAGTTCCGTCTCTGCTGTTCACACGTGTGAGCTAGCTCTCACCGCGGTATACCGAGGTAACATACAGGCTGCAATCAACGCCTGTCACGAAGGATCGAATGCGCCCTTCTGGAGTACCTGACTCACGTCTTTGGAGGCGGCTTTGACAGACTCTGTTGCTGATGAGTCACGCTTGCCCTCCCTCCACATGTATATCTCCATCACGGCAACAACGTGGGACACATCGTTCATAATTACATAAGATATGGGCAATGAAGACCTGCTACCTCTCTGCGACAGACTGTCTTGTGGGTCTCCACCATCTGCAGTCCAACGCGATGCGATATCCACTATGCCGCCTCCGAACCCTCAGCTTCAATCGCGCCTCTTTCGCCTCCCCAGGGAACTTCGAGATCTCATCTACCACCATTACTTGTTCGACGAAGATGGCCTAGTGTATAACTTCGAAACCAACAAGCTCCCTGTCGATTTGTCGTTGACATACACTTGTCGTGCGGCCGCATTCGAGCTTCGAGGCCTTGCTCTGCGGCTTAACAAGGTCGTGTTCTGCACAACCTACCCACATGCCATTCGAACGCATGCATTCCTATTCCACCGAGCGCTGATCGAATTACACCTCGTCAAATTCAAAATACTTAATCTCCTAGCTCCGCGTCTGTTAACTGAAGCGATCCAAAACGAAGTATCCGTCAAATATCCACAATTCTCACGGGTCTTGCCGACACTAGGAGCGCGAGGTGGACGCCCGAACACCTTGGGAGAGCCACCATCGACGTATCGCGATTTTGTTCATTTTACACTGAATCTGTTGTATGATCGCAAACACCACCCCAAATTAGGCGGCAAACGTTCCGAGCGCAAGCGCCGAAGTCTACGAAAAGTGAATCCCGAACCCTGGTCAACGCCCAACGAGGGCAGACTCCCACGTGGTGCAGAGGGAAGGTTTGGTGCTTGCGCCTCGGGCATACACGGTCGCGACCTTGCGGCTACATTCGACCGCGAACTCCAGCAACTGGTCGACATAACCAGAACTCATGATCAGGTCGGGAGTGTGAAACACTGCTTGTCAGCAGCAGCATGCGCAATACGTTTCCTTCGGTCTCTCCGCGTCGAGACGCGTGAGCACGTGCGACAAATTGAACTCATCGAGGACCGAGAGTCTATTTCGTTCCCAGAATGCCATGGCAGGGGCCTGATATCGTTCTGTCGTGACCACCCAAAGTTGCGCGTACATAGGCGTATCAGTCTCTGGAGAAACGCGTTCCCCGTAACCACTGTAATACGGTACCAGTTAGGCGGGCGAGACTCAGAAGAGGATCGACTGAGCTCCAGCCACGTATCAAGGGCAGTTGCGAAGTGGATGGCAGAAGCATCTATATTACCCTCCCTGGGTATGCCCGAGGGCTCTTTCAAGCTAACCTTTGAATGCGACTCCGCCCCCGCAGAGACTACACAGGTCTTCAACATTCTCCAGCGAGATGCCGCATGGCAGACTGCCTTGGATCTCAGTTATGCACGGCATATTCTACCGCAGCCAAGCTGGCGCGAGCGCAGACTCCGCAAGGCATACTTATACGAGACCTTTCCGGAGGTCCTGGAGCAAGTTACCAACGGTGAGCACCCTCTTATCCATTGCGACTTCCACCCAGGCATGGTGTGCGATCCGGAGGAAATCATCCGCGAGCGGAGGGGCGACTCACGGGAACAATGGCATGCAGCCTGGCTCGATCATACGCCTCGCGAGTTTCAAACACCCGCCAACATGCCGCCGTGGCACGTACTCCGCGCTGGCTTTTTAGTTTGGGACGTTTGGGGAAGAGCGCTACTTAACGGTTGAGGCTGCGATCGTTCCAGTATAGCTTACGTTGTTACCACCACTTCATAGCCGAGCTTCAATCAGCTGCGCCCTTCGGAATCTTGACAGGCAACACCACCATCAACATGAGCAACATCAATCTGGCAGCATGCATGCGCTCGCCAACAGTCTCGCAGCCAGGTTTAACATAACGTATCGGATCCATGAAACCTGTGATTCGGCCAATTCAGGAAGCTTTATCCTAACCGTTATCCAAATCCCGTGTGCGAGCGCGCCCACCGTGCGAGAACCATGGTTTTGTCGAGAGAGTATGATTCGCCGCCTTTCAATGGCGCAATGTGACGCACGCATGGTTGCGCGGTGGTGACTCGACATTCACTGCAGCAACTGAGCTGTGAATGAGAGTTGCGAATTGAAGGGACTGCGACCGGGCGGGCCAGTATATATACTTTCTGTAATATGTCAGTGTAGGACAATAACCATTCCCACGAACCAAGTAAACCACTATCATTGAACGCTCACCACATTCAGATCTTATACTTCCCCTCAACCCTGCGTTCACTCACTCAAATCATAATACCCGCAGCGAAGCAGACTAGTCATCAAGTCACCACGATGTCCTCCAGCGTGCCTACCACCGCGGTCCAAGGCCCGCCGTCAGACCTCAAGGACTTCCTCAACCAAACCAACAACGCCGGTCTACACGCCTCCGAGTCGAGCGCCAACAACAGCGAAGACACCTGGGACGTCGTAGACAAAGACGAAGCGCTGCACGAGCAGGACAAGGCCGAGTGGGAAATCGTCGGCAAGACGGCGGCTGAGAAGCAAAAGCAGGAGGCGGAGCGCAAGGAGCGGATGGAGAAGCAGAAAGAGGAGCGCAAGGCTGAGAAGCGTAAGGAGAAGCTGAAGGAGCGCATGGAGCGTATGAAGGGTGTCTCGTACGCTGAGGCTGCTGGTAAGGCTGTTAGGAAGTTCTAGTATGGACGGCGGGTGTGGGAAGGTCATGGATGGGCATGCTGGTTGTGGAAGTGAACGGCAGGTGTGAGAAGTTCACAGACGGGCATGCTGAATGTGGAATTGGGTATCTTCATCTCGCAGCCTGTGCACCGTATATGCCCCAACCTCTTATCAATCATTCAATCGCAACCGACATCCCCTATGGGCCTCGTGGTATCGTATGTGTGCGTCGCGATGTCTTCGTCCGCCTTGGGTGCCCTGCTCGGCGCGTGCAGTATGGTATGCTCGTGAAGTCCCATTCCTCATTTCTTGCCCTTCTTCTTTTTCTTGCCTCCAGTTCCCGCACCAGCCGCTGGGACGCCGCCCATCTTCACATCCCCGCCTTCGTCAACCTGTGGTGTGGATGTGGCCTCGCCGCCAGCTGGCATACTCAGATCGTCCGTTATCTCCGGCAGCGCTGCCATGTGCCTTCCCAGCCTGCCCAGATTTCCAATCAACCTCCCCACCTCGGCACCCTTGTTCGTCTCATACTGCAGACATGTCCCCGACTCCGGATCATACGTCTTGAGCGTGAAGAACACGGTGACTTCTTCGGGATTCTGCGATTGCGGCGGCGGTGACGATGCGCGCGCGGTGGTATCTGTAGGCTTCGAAGCTCGCTTCTCCTCGTACTTTTGGCGCTTCTTTATCTTGGAGGCGGTGGGCTTGAGGACCGAGTATTTGGACGTGATGCGTGTCTAGTAGCGAGATTAGAAGGCGGGTCGCGTGCGTGCGTGTGCAGTGGAGCTTGGCATACGGATGTCGGTCGCGCTTTTAGCAGGAGCGACGATTGCTCGTACCACTCCTGGCTCGTCGCGAAGTACGGCATGGTGGGTCGGTGGTGTCTGGGGGAGAGGGTGAGAGAGAGATGAGGATGGTGGTCGGTGGTCGGTGCGTGGGTTCGGTATGCGGGCAACTTTTGGCGGGGTCGGTCGGGGAATCGTCGGGCCAGACTGGAATCGCGACTCTACCCAGGTACCACGCGACAGGAACCTAGGATGCTGAAAAGGGCTGACGCGAGAAACAACCTATCAGGCAACAGCAGTTTGGTGCTTGCGCCACCACCCGAGAACCTTCCACGGTTTGACTAGTGCTTGAGTCAGGGCTCCCGTACTTCATCTTCAGAAATCGAAATCTATTCTATCAACTCTCCACCACCCCGGACTACTACTCACCAGGAGCAATTCTCGGACGCTGGGAGCTGAATAGGAAGAGGAGGGATTCGCTAAATTCTAAGCGAGTGCAGTACTTCACCTGCCCTGCGTGCACCATCAAACTGACCAGACTTACCACAAGAGTGGCACCACCACACCCCATCCAAGGAACAAGCTGACGATCTGGAGCCTACGTTGTCGCCCGATCTTCCGATTTGCTAGTTTTCATCATAGTGTAGGCTGCAAGCCTATCCAGTTTTACCCGGTCTGAGGCGATCATGGCAGAGTCCATTACCAACGACTTCAGCCAAATTGGTCTTGGTGAAGAGCAGACCGACGGCAAAATGCCCACCCCGAGGGCTGAGCTCGAATCTACAATCCAAGAGCTAGTGGCACGTGGCAACCATCTCAACAACGAGGTAGAGACGTATATTGCCGCGGTTCTTGAGAAGCAAAAAGTCGGGAAGGTTTACAATCCAGTTGAGTACGTCTATGCAATTGTCATAATATGGTGATCTACACGAAGGTTCCCCGCCTTCCCAGATTGAACCTCATATTACCCTGGACGTGTTCGCGGTGGGTTTGCTTTCACATTGACAGTATGCAACATAGCGTATACCTCCAGGGGAGGTGCATCTGAGGGTGAGCTGCTTCGTGATTAGATCGGCAGCCTCAGACCATAACTAACTGTACTAGATACCGAAATCTACGAAATGACATGCGCAACGAGCTAGCCTTCCTGCAGAAGATCGCGGGATCGTCAATGGATGAGGAAAAAGCCCGGCATTACATTGTATCTTCAAATCTTCTCTACTACGAGGCACTCTGGGGCGCGGCAAAGCGGTCAATGGGAATCCAAAGCTTCCGCAAATACTTCTTCTGGGACCGGCACAAAGCACCAGCAGGAAAGAGCACAACAAAAGGAGTCAGCCTGGCAAAAGGAAGTCAAGCCAAGAACAAGACTTCCGCGCTCGTCGACATCGTTGCGGAAGAGGGTGCAGAGTGGATACGAGTCTCAACCGTCTCGGAAAAGCGTATTCTCTTCGATCTCGCGAAATTGGGTTGGGTGAACGACTCGGACTCTGAAGACGATGAAGACATGCCGCCTCCGCCGGAAGACGACGATGACGATGAAGACCAAATCGACGTGGTGCGAAACGCTCGAGGTCTTGCAAGAGCTGCACGCGCAAACCCTATTCGAGGCCGACCACCCAAGGTGCGCTTCGTCTTAACGCGAATAACTGCTGGAAAAACGCCAGCTATCGACATGATCATCAACAAGATACGCGCTACCGGTGCGATAGTACAATGCGGAGACGACATTCCACCCGCCCTCTCCATAGACGCTGTTCTACCGCGTCTACTCATCGATAGGTCCCGGGCCCTCAGCGATACATTAAACATCGACTGCACTATTCTACTAGCCCTCATATCCGACATTTCCCATAAGCCTTGCCCGATACTGGACTGGTATCCGGGCGAAGTGCGCGCGCAGATCGAGGAGGAGGCTCAAGAGCACCTGCTACCGACACATTTGTATCCTGCTATCGGCGCGCATCCCATGGTGTGCACGCGCGAAGCTGCCGAGCAGATGAACCTCATAGTGCAGACTCTGGCAACTGATACAGAGAAGACAAGAGCGGATCTACTTCTCCGACAGGGTGACTGCGAGTCGTGGTCACAAGAGAAGCTTGTTGAAGAATGGGCACGTACTCTCATACAGCTACATATGATTTAAAGCTAACATTCCCACCAGGCCGCACTCTCCGACTACCCCCCGGCCCCCAACTTCGCTCTCCCCATTACCGTCAAATCACCCAACGTTGAGACCATTACCGACAACCTCCCCAGCGCCGCCACGGCCGTCGCCGCCGAACTCGGCCACCTCAATAAGTCCATCTTCCTCTACGGCTGGGCCGAGAGCCTCACTACCCTGAGCGCCAACCGCGGTCGCGCAAAACAGATTGAACATATCATCAATGAACATGGGCTTAAGGACGGCGAGGCGGGACCGCATATTTGGCTGTGTGGTGAGTCGAGGAGCTTGATTGCGAAACATGGGAGGAGGAAGTAGGTGGTGATGTAGAGCGGTGGCTGAGTACTGAGAGCAGGTGCGACGCGCGCGTTTCGCAAGCCAAAGCCGGGAAAGGGCACGTCGGAGGCGATGGAACAATGGCGATGTGCATCGAGAGGTGTTAAATAAACATTCGCTGCGATTGCGTCCAGGCTACGTCACAAACCATACACCTTGGATGTATTCGCCTCGGCCGGCTGCTAGAATTCGAACATCACGTTCAGACGCAAAGATAGATAGTAGGTCCTTTACGCGCGCCAAAATCGTATGTCTTGGTTGATGTTGCTCAGGTGTCTATTTGGCGGGTACATGGGCTGTTCCTTCCGTTTTGGGTTAGGTCTGTGCTGCGGCGTCGCATCAACATTGATTAACAGGGGGCAGCCGCGATCACTCAACTTTTCTTACAGATCCATCGTCGTCCCTTTTTGACAACAGCAACGTGAATACGACCAGAAGACATGGACGCTATAATTGAGGGTAAACAAAATGGGCCTCCCCCAGTCCTCGGGTTTCCTTATTACTACTTACTTATTTGTCCGGAGCTCGATCAATACCATACACTCTGCAAATACAAAGACGACACCCCGAAGTTATTTGAGCGGAAAGACGAGTACTGGTTTTACAATATGTTTGTGAACCCACGGCCCCAGCACTACTATCCACCCAGTGGAGACCTCTTCGAGCGCCTGCCAAACGAGATCATTGACCAGATTTTCGATTACATCCTACTTCGCGAAGAGGTTGACTGGGAAGCACTTGGCTATGAACGCTGGCATAGCCGCCCCTCAGTGGAAGAGTTCAATCGAGAAGACTTCGTCGCATTATCCCTCTCGTCTGCTCGTCTGTGGCCACTCGCCTTAGCCCGTATACACTGGACCTATCAGAAAACAAACTGGGTAGGCAAGAAAGTTGGGTTCCACCATGAGGATTCAAAGCTCACCGCCGATCAAATGCGGAACTATGGTGTCGAAGACACGCCTGTCTTGATCAATGGACGTCAGGAAATGAGGTCGCAGCAAAGTGTCAAAGATCGGAGATGGGACCATTTCAGGTGCCGACCACCGTATGATTGGTGCTCTCTCATGGAGCCCATGCGTGGATACACAGCCGGCCGAGGATTGAAGATGGCACAGTATGAGCTAACGTTAAGACCGGGGGATCGGGACAAAATCGAGCGAGATCTTGGTCGGTTTGATCGGTTCAATCTACGAGACACACAGAGAGAGTGGGTGCTTCGCAACATGACGACTAGACAATTCGTACGCTCGGATCAGTTGCAAGAGCCAACCTGTCCAGCACCAGATTGGGACTCACTACCCAAGTTCCAGGAGCCAGTACTTCCCAAGATGCAACGACTCTACCGCGAGCTGTCGGAACAGGTGAGGAGAGTTCCGAAGGATAAATCGCGACCACTCCCGGAGAGCGACCAAGCGCTTACATTGGCGAACATATTCTTGGTTCTCACGTGTAGCAACCCAGATTGTCCTTCACCAGGACAAGCCTTCGACTTCTCAAGTGGCCCATGGGCTGGGTGCGCATTTGAAGTTGTTTCACTGGACGATCATCTGCAGTCTCAGCAACGAGAGTCAGAGTTAGAAGAACAAGCAGGCGAGCCATGGGTCGACGTCACTAGAGAGGTGGTTGCGGATGTCGCTAACTTGCGTTTTTGTATTCGCAGGTTGCAGGAGATGAGGCATCAGGGTCACGAGCGGTATTTTCGCAGCCACGACCCAGCAGTCAACAAAGCGTACTGGGACAACTTCTGGGATAAGGTCGAAATGACGAGAAGGCTACATCGACAGTGGGTAAAGACATGTCCGCCTAGACTTTGGATAGATGAGAGCATGTATACGGGAACGTAGGTAGTCGAAGTGACCAGAACAATCCCACCTTCACTTTCACCTCACTTCAATACAATACAATAGGAAATAGATGCTTCTATCCACTCCTATCGTAGTCTGCAAAGCTATTGTACACCTCTATTCTGCTAATCCTATTGTATCGCCCGTCACCCTCCAAGGTATCAAAACCTCGCCGACTGCTCTACAAAACCTACCCCAGACACCTACAACACCGTCCACCACCTTATATCTTCCAGTCCAAAAGCATCGACATCCTCCTCGCACCCCTATTACATACCTCTCCACCACCCAAAAGTAGCTGGACTACTTCCCGGCCTCACAATGAGCCCCCATTCCAGCCTTTGTCGCCGCCTAACATGGCACCTCTGCCGCGCGCGCCGCCAGCTCGAGCGCCGGCTCAACGGCCCACCAGCCATGCGAACGCGAAGCCGCCTTGCCGCCACATCTTCTTCCTCAACACCAGCACCATCCCAAGTCACACCCGCAACACCAAACCCCCCTGCCTCCAAAACCGGCACCCTCACCAAAAAGCCCCCCACCAAGAAACAACTCCTCGCGAGCTCAAAGCGGCTTGGGCGGAAAAGACTGGCGCTGAAGCGCGTGTTGGAGAAGAAGAAGAAAGACATGGATGAGAAGGGGAAGAGGACGTTTGGCATGGGGCAGCGGATCAGGCTGTTGAGTGTGCTTGGGCCGAAGGGGGAGTTGGAAGAGTTGGAAAAAGGGAGGAGGTTGGTGCCTG